AAATATACGATATGAGAATTCTAAACTGTGATAAGCGTTCAGAAAAATAAACACAAAATCTTACTGGAAAGAGCATTTTTTGAATTGATTTATAAATTGACTTTTTTAACTAATTGGCATTATTGATAAAAATCTTTCATAGAATGCAATCTAGTTAGCATTAAAATTTCATTCTATACGTTATTTGCAAATATTCTTTTGTTTACAAAGGATGTCTATTATACTACTTATTGTTGAAATTGCCAATGAAATGAAACCGTAAATTTTAATAATAATTTGAATACAATCAATAAAAATATATTATTCATTATATAATATACTATTAAAATTTTTGACAAAAAAATTATATGAATTTGTAACATCTAACTAATTAACCATTTTATGCACTTTCATGTCATAACTCCGAAATTCCTGGATCTGCCTTTGGTAAAAGAAAATTTGTAACATTTTCAGTATATGATCGAGTTTTTTTATAAGTTTGTGCGCATTTTTATAAACATAATTGATTATATCAATCGGTTAATGTGTACATAAAAACGGTAAAAATTTTGGTATAATTTCAAATTATGTTAAAATTGGCTGGGAAAAAATTTTAAAACTGAAAAAAGTCGTCAATTTGGATGAACAAATGTAGACGCAATTTTTAATTTTGAAGTAAAATATTTTACCAAAGTGTCATTTTTCTTGTGTGGAGGTGATAAAAATCCTTTGAAAAAGAGTCTGTACCGAGTACATAATGGCATAATGCAAACCCTCCCACTGCCCCGCTCCGCAGTGGAAACAAGGATTCACGCTGAAACAGAATGAGATCGCAAGTCTCTTCTATGGTGGTGGCGATCCGATGACCAAAATATGAAGTGACAATCTGATTAGTTCGTCGTGCATCCCTTCGGCAAACGCAGTGTTAAACATATCTCTTAAGCAGTGAATTGATTGATCGAATAATATAAATTTTTGGCTGAAACACCACTTCTAGGAAGTTTCCTAACCCTATTTTCTTGCGTTGCGACCTGTGTTTTCGAACTACGTCAGCGCACCGTGTTTCCTTGCCGCCGTTCATACGCACGTGCTTTGTGAATATTGTAATATATTACAGCAGCAGGTTCGTTATATACAAATTTACACTTATACATGTTGTATTTACATGGAACTTTGAGTACATGGATTCGTGTATACATGTTCTATGTTTCTTTGTAGTTGTGGGTCTTTCGATATATTGGTTAGAAATATCTGAATTTTCTTGTTACCAAGCGCGTGGTGCAATTCCTGTTAAAAATAACTAAGGAACTGAGGTTCATGTATTGAATAGCCCGCGCTTTGAGCTTTTTCTTACACTATTTTTTAGCAAACATAATTTTAACTCACTTTAGTTTTAAACTGATATAACATATTAAAAAACCGCTAAATTTAATTTTTCTATTGCAAAAAATATCCGTTTACATAAATTTTGTGTTATAAGTAGCAAATTGCTTTTATCCATTTGTCTATTATAAATTTATATCATTATATTAAACTCATTATATTTTCTATTGTATAAAGTTGTTTGCTATATTTCTCACAAATTTGATGTTATTAATTGTAATTTAAAGTAACAAAATGATTTTATCATTAGTCTAATATAAAATTGTATCATCAAATTAAAATCTTTTTCTTGTATAAAAATCTTTGTTACATTTTTCTATTTTAAAATCCTTCTATTGCATGAAAACCTTCGTTATTTTTTTTTATAAATTTTTTGGTATAAATGGGAAATTAATATCCATTACAAAATTTTATCTTAAAATTAAATTCTTCTATTACATAAAAATCTCCGTTACATATTTTCGAAAATCTAATTTTGATAATTGTATTATATGTTATATTTTATGTTATGTATTTATCTATTATAAAATTACAAATTAAATTAAATTCTTTGATTTTTAAATCTATTTTCTAAAATCTTTTTTATTTTTTACAACTTTTGTGTTATAAATTGTGATTTATTAGCAACAAAATGATTTTATCATTAGTCTATTATAAAATTATTTCATTAAATTAAAATATTTTATTGTAGAAAAATCTTAGTCATATTTTTTTTTCAAATTATATGTTATAAATGGCAAATATAAGTTCTACGTCTACTATAAAATTGACGTTAAATTAAATTCTTTTATTGCATAAAAGTCTTTGTTATTATTTTTTTTTTTAATTTTTTGTTATAAAAGAAAATTATAAAAAAAGCTTTTATCCATTTATCCATTACAAAATTATATCTTAAAATTAAATTCTTCAATTTTATAAACATCTCCGTTACATATTTTTGAAAATTTATTGTTAATAATTGTATTTTATGTTTTTTTTTAATTTCATGTTATAAATGGCAAATATAAATTCTAAGCCTATTATAAAATTGTCCTTAAATTAAATTCTTCTATTGCATGAAAACCTTCGTTTTTTTTTTACAAATTGTTTGTTATAAAGGAAAATTATAAAAAGTAAAAAGCTTTTATCCATTTATCCATTACAAAATTATATCTTAAAATTAAATTCTTGTATTGCATAAAAATCTTCGTTACATATTTATGAAAATTTCATGTTAATAATTGTATTTTATGTTTTTTTTTAATTTTATGTCGTTAAATTAAATTGTTTCTATTGCATGAAAACCTTCGTTATTTTTTTACAAATTTTTCGTTATAAAGGAAAATTATAAAAAGAAAAGATTTTTTATTCATTTATTCATTACAAAATAATATCTTAAAATTAAATTCTTCTATTACATAAAAATCTCCCCTGCATATTTTTGAAAATTTTATGTTAATAATTGTATTTTGTTATAAATTGTGAGTTATAACTGTATTTAGCATTTTTATTTATGTTATAAATTGTAATTTTAAAGTAGCAAATTGCTTTCATCCATTTGCCTATTATAAAATTAGGGCGTCAAATTAAATTGTTCTTTTGCATAAAAAACTTTACTTTTTTAATAAAACTTAAATTTTATTTTTTTTATAAATTTTGAGTTATAAATGGCAAATTATAAGTATAGCAAATTGCTTTTATCTCTTTGTCGATTATAAAATTATGGCTTTAAATTAAATTTTTATATTGCTTAAAAATCTTTGCTACATTTTTTACAGATTTTATGTATATATAATTATATTTTATAAGTAGCAATCTGATTTTATCTATTTGTCTGTTATAAAATTATATCGTTAAATTACACTCTTTTGGATTAATATCTACATAATATTTTTTGCAAAGTTTGTTTTGTAAAATATACTTTATAAGTAACAAAATACTTTTATATATTAGCTTATAGGAAAATTATATCATTAAATTAAATTCTTCTATTGCATAAAAATCTCCGTTACATTTAAAACATTTGTGTTGTAATTAGTAAATTATAATTAGCAAATTGCCTTTTGCCAAAATTATATCTATCATTAAAGTAAATTGTTTTATTGCATAAAAATTAATGAACTAATTTTTATAAATATCATTTTTTGATTCAATAATAACATAATTCTTTCATTCATTAGTTTATTATAACATTATATCTTTTAATTATAATTATAAAATAATTATACTAAAAATAAATATAAATCTCCTATACTAAAAATAAAATTAAATCTCCGCTACGTTATATTATAAATTGTAATTTATAACGTAATTAGCAAAAAATTAAATTCATTATAATGTAAGTAGCAAATTGATTTTATGATTTGTCTATTATAAAATTATATCATTTAATTAAATTCTTGATTTTATTCATTTGTCTATTATAAGATTATGGCGTTAAATTTAATTCTTCTATTGCATGAAAATCTTAATTACATTTTTTACAAATTTTATGTTTTAACTTTTATGTAATTCATAGGCAGCAAAATAATTTTATCTATTAGTCCATTTTATAATTATATCATTAAATTAAGAGTAATTTTTTTTTAAAACCTATAGGCTAGATAAAAAGGGACAACAATCGGCAATCAGATGCAATGTCTTATTTAAGGGATTTTATAAAATAACACATTTTTTACAAAGATTACACCGTATATAACCTTGATTTGGTATTTCGTGAATAATATTCATCAGCAAAGATAAAATAACTATTAACTTAATTTTTTCCTTGTAAAATTTCTTTAACTTAATATACTTTCATTCTTCATTTTTACACTTTTGCCAGGGTAAAAGTTTTGTTGGTCTTTTTTACCTCACTCACATGTGACCTATTAGGGTAGAGCGGGGCTTAAAGGTTCCAAGGTAAAAAGACCGATATTTTAAAAACCAGAAATGTTAGGAATGTTTTAACATTGATTATAACAAAAATAAATATGAAAAATTAAATAAATAATAATTTCACCTATGCTGATGAATATTTCTGACAAAATACCAGATCAAGGTTAATTACAGTGCTATTTCTGTAAAAAAATTACCCATGAATTTTATCTTTTGCATTGATTGAATAATGTAGCTATTATTTTGTAATAACCCTTTAACATTAAAATAAAACATTGGACATGCTTGCCCCCTGGTTCTGGTTTTTATCATATAACTGCTCAAAGTCAAATAGGATCTTTGTGCCCTGCCCTATCCAATAGAGGTTATATGAAAACATCTATTGAATCTGATTTAAAAATAACAATTCCTCTTATAAAACAATCAAATAACGTGTACTTAAAAATTATATTAAGGTCTCGTAAACTAAACAACAGTGCTCACAACCAGAAAAACTAACTACGATAAAAAATACTTTTGTTAAAAATTTTCAAACATGGCCGTTTATCTACATCCGATAGCAACGTCTTAAGAGTATCACCTTTATTCATGATTACAAATCTTTTTTCCTCTGCTTTCAAATATTTCTAAAAAATACCTAACTTCACTTATTTTTTAGATACTGCTGGTGTACCTTGTTACCAGCGGATATTTTAGCCCCGCTCTACCCTGTAACATTTTATTTAATTTCAAATATTAATTTAATTATATAAAAATAATATGACGATTTTTTTTTGTTACAGGTTTTGGACACCAGCGACAAGTTGTGTGCGATTTGAACGGGGTGCAGAGCCCCGATAGCAGGACAAAGAGCCCTTTGGTGATTGAAATAAAGGTGAGAGAAATTATTGTTAACTAAATATCGAGTTTAATAATATTATTTTATCGAATATCAATAGCATCTTCAATCATCAATCAACAATTGTAGAATATTCACCAGGAGACTGTCGACAAATCAACATGAATATTTTATCTTGAATTTAAATATAGTTTGAATATTCATAACTCGTTGTAAAAGTCACATATTTAAAAACAACGTGAAATTAAAAAAGGAAATATAAAAAATAATTAAATTAATAGAAAAAAATAGAATTGTGAAAGGAAGATATACAACTGAAATGTTGAGTTCTAAAATTCAAATCAAAACAAATCATAATAAATATAAAAACTAAACTGCAAAACTAAAGTATAATATAAAAATAATAATTTTAAATTATGCAACTTTATCATCCAAAAAATGAATAAAAAGTTTTACAAACACAATCTAAAATATAAAAAAAATATCTATATTTCAACGGCCTAAAATAAAATCTATTATTATTGATTACGACCTGCTTATGAATAAAATAAATTAAATTAAACCTAATATTTTATGATTAGGCAATGCATTAAATTAAAAAAATTATAACAAGGAGATGAACTGAGATCATTTTTATTGCAATTCAGAAAAACTTTATTGTTTTATATTTTCGAGTAACTGTTTTACACCACCAATATTATGGATAATAGATCCATATTAAATTTTGCCAAAATAATTTCTCATCCAGAATACTGATGGACCGATTCTGCCGCACAACAGACCAATGTTATGGCAAGGCAATGTTATGAAGAACTTTCCATACAAAATCATTCTAAATATTGACAAAAGCCATATGGTTGCTGTGCAGTCAGCCTAGAAACCGCACAAATGTCAAAAAACGATCTTAGATAACAGGGTCTTTCTGACCCAGCTTCATAACGTACAAGTTTGTTGCAGTTTATGTGTAAAACGCCTGAATGCACAGCAAATACATGACATTTTGACAGTATTCAGTAGGATTCAGTAGCATAAAGTATGGAAGTTGAGGGTATCATGGCATTGCCATAACATTGGTCTGTTGTGCGGCAGAATCAGCTCATGAAGCAAAGTACCTTATTACTATTTTTTTTACAAAGGCGAATTTTAGATGAAGTGACTGGAACAACTGGACCTAAATCAGAGGTCCCAGGTTTGATTCCACTTCGAGCAGCCTGATTTCAAGTAGTAGTGACATCGATTTTTATTTGGAAATACAGATAGCAAAAAGCAATATGTTTCCAAGTGAAAATAGCTTTCATCCGGCATTGCTGCATCAATAAAAATTCGCCTTATTACAGTAATTATATTAATAATTCATCATACAGAGATGGGACATCTGTCTGTAGAATCGTATTAATATATCGTATAAAACTAATATTAATAGGAGTCTTAAGTTCTGATTGCTGTTCAAAATAATAATATAAAATAGTCTTTTTCAATAAATCGCGGATATGCGTTAGCCAAAAAGTTGATACGAACTTTTTATATATGATGCATTGCCAATGTATTTATGTATTGCCTAATCATTAACAAATAAAAATGTTAACAAAGAAAACTATTTTTTATATTAATATATCTATAATTTATATTTTTCTACTAAACCACTAGTAATCAGAAAATTAGAATTAAAATAATTAAATTGTATGTGACAATCTCGAGTAAAATGAAAAATTCTAATTACAATTAGTTAACTAATTAAATAAACTAAAAAATTAATAAATAAATTAATAATTAAATAAATAAATAATTAAAAATCAGTTTCTCAGAACAATCTAGCGATAACTCAAAATATTATATTATTTCGGAATTATAAAAGAAATAAATTATATTTATTATGACCTAGATCTAGATTATCATTGATGATTCAAAATGATTTAACTAAAATATTAGATATAAAAATATTATGCTCATCAATTCCGTCATCAAATCTAAATGAATAAAACATATACAAATAAAAAATTATATACAAATAAAATTTATATATTATACAAAATTTAAAGTTTGTGAGTATGAACCAATAATGAAGAATCTGTCTGCAATCAACATAAGTATTTGCGAGGATGAAAAGCGAACTTCAATCAACATTTTGAAAAATTTATTATACTTTACTTTTCAATTTAAATTTTTATTGAACATTAAAAAACAAAATGAAAATAGCCATAATATTACATCATATCAACACCAAGACGAACTCCTTGACAAAAAATGTAGGTAAGTAATTTATATCTTACAAATCAACAACGGCCAAAATTGTTGAAAACAAAGATTAGTTAGCTTAGATGAAACAAATGATATAGAAAAGACAGTTACTATTTGGGATAAATAAATATTAAGCAAAATGATGATAAGGACCCATGTGTAAAAACACTTTCATGTAAAATATCGATCTTCGTATTTTGAGAGTAAAATCATCAATTTTAGTACTTGTTACAAAACAAATGCATACCGAGGTGTGTATCATGAATAGTTTACAACTTTCTGTACTTTCACAATTTTTATGTCTTGTGCAACCACAAGTTCGGAATTTAAATAATCAGATTTTTTTTTCTCGATGCATATATAATAATAATAATTAGTTCTCTGTCCGAAGGCAGGTCCATAGTTGGCGAGCATAAAGAATTAATTACTCCTCTTCCCGCCCTTGTTAACTACCCTACGGGAAGTAGGGTAAGTTATAGTATACGCAAAAAAATCGAAAATGAAAATTTTTATATATCTTTACGTTTCGGAGGTTTCTGAACATTTTAGCATACTTTAGAAAAAATGGGTGTATGTATGTATGTATGTATGTGCGGATACAATTTTCCGTCGACGATTTCGAGAATACGGATCAACTAATTTGAATAATTCAAAAAACATTCGATTCGAATTGATTAAGGAGACGTGCTGATTAGTATTTGGCAAAGACAGGTTTAGCCGTTCCGAAGATACGGGGCAAAAAGTGCCAAAAGTGGTAATTCAATTTTCGGGAACGCAAGTGTAGAAGTATCGCAGATCCAATAAAAAAGTAAGGAAAATGCCATTTGGCAGGCAAAAATGATCATTAAACATATGCACATCAAATTATCACAATTTTAATAATAAGAACAAATTTTGTTTACATTCCAATGGGTTCCGCACCAATGTTTATTCGTTATACTGCAAACGGCGTCCACGCGCTTCGATATTTCGTTTCTACGCTAACTTATCGCGATTGCTATAAAAACAGTTCAAAATTTTCAAAAAAATTCAATGTATGAAAATTTCAAAAATCTCAAAAATTTATTTTTTTCAAGGTTCTATAAAAACATTGAATCTTTTTTAAAAACTTTAATTTTTGGTACGGAAAGTTTCAGCAATTTGCCTTAAGGCACGATGCCATGCACTACTAGTTAATATTAATATTCACATTTTCAAACTTCTGCTTTCATGCCTCCCTGTCCTATGCTTTGGTTTTCAATTCCCTATATTTTCTCGTCTTGCTTAAGGCGTCAATCATCTGCACTCTGCTTCCTCCTAGTCCTTTCAGTCCTTCTATTTTACCTCAGCAAACGTCGTGCAGTCTTGGTGTTATTTGGGTCCAATCCAGTTTCCTTTTCTTGTTATGATAGTGGTTACTAAAGTTTTTTCTTCTCGCATTCTTCGTGGATGTATGTATGGGTATAACATTTCTAAATTTCATCGATATCTATCGCATTTCTAAAAAATTACGCCTGTGACAATCGGACAAATGTATATAGTGATGTTAACGAGAATACGGAAAAGAAAATAATGAAGTGTAATTACTCGTGATTACACATCCCATAGAGCAAGTTCTAGTAAAAAATGAAACTTTTTGCATATTTTTCAACGTTTCAACATTTTGGCATACCCTTGAAAAAAATTTGTTTGTTTGTATGTGTGTGTGCGTGTATGTAGGAATATGAGGATACAAAATTCCGTCAACGATTTCAAAAGAACGGATCAACCGATTTAAATGATTCAAAAAGCCTTTGACTCCTATTGACGGGGCGACGTGCTGGTTAGACTATGGCAAAGCGGCAGGTCCAGCCATAAAGTGCAACTAGTGGTGTATGGCATTGTGCCTTAAGGCAAATTGCTGGAACTAGGAAAGATATTTTTTTTAAATTTGAAAAAAATAGATTTTTGAGATTACAGTTGACAAAACTTGACTTTTTTGGAAAAAAAACTTTTGAAAAATATTTTTGTTTTTTCATTTTGAAATTTTGTACTTTTTTTCAAAGCAATCGCATAACTTTAGCTGCATAGAAATGAAATATCAAAGCGCGTAAGCGCCGCATCCGCGTCCAACGGATTTTACGAAACGGACGAAATTGATACATATTATTAAAATCTTCATAAAATATCTGATAATTTGATGTGCATATGTCTAATGATCATTTTTGACCGCTGAATGGCATTTTCAATTTTTTCAATTTTCAGATATTTTATAGAGATTTTAATAATAAGCACTAATCTGTTTCCATTTCTATGAGTCCCGTATCACGATTTATAATGTTTAAAGTTACTTACATAGGTTCAAACAAATATAACCTGGACATTTTTGACAGTATAGATCAACCGACTTGAACAGGTTTTAAACTAGTTGTTATTGGTATTTTGCCTCGAGGCAAGTTACATGAACTTTCCGATATGTGTAAATAATCGACTTAATCAATAAAAAATAAATTGATTAAATAAAAAATGAGTGATTTATAGTATTCCGAGTGGATTTATCACGCATCATTAAAAACGAACGAACACTATCGTTATACCGAATAAATCGTCTGATTTGAATTTTAACAAACGTCAAAAAACTATTTATTTTCCCAAACTTTGATGAATTTTTAAAATTAAACTACTTGGCGTAAAACCGCAATATTTTAGTAAGTTCTATAAGACCATGATATATATCGCCAAAAAAGGTTCGATAAAAATCGCCTTAAATTTTTTCACCATTACAAGAAAACGGCTTGGTAGACTTTCATCTAAAACTAATCAGTATTATTCCCAACTAATATCTTTCGAACAGTTTTTGATTTTTTAAAATCTATTTAGTAGTTTGAGCTTAAGTATGGACGAAAAGTTTAACACTTTTTCCAAATTACATAGAAACGGCTTGGCAGATCGTCGCACAAACACGCATACACATACACACACACATACTTTTTCTAAATTTGGTCTCATTCGATTCAGAATGGCTTGAAACGTCGAGACAACATAAAA